GTCGGCGTGCTGCTGATTTGTTCTCACAATAAAATTAGAATATTTTAGTTGAAAAGACAATTCTGATTAGCGTACTTACAGCAAGCATACGAATAAATAAGTAAACAGTATTATCATAAGCTGCATTAACCATACTGACAAAAAATGGGATGGTGGCCCCCAACTCAATCCTCGGGGGCGGACATCCTGGCAACCCGCGGCGGTGAAAACAAAGGCCAAAAACTCGCTGAAAACGGTACTTTGGGATGATTGTTGAGACTCCTCTGAACAGTGTAACAAGATTAGCCCTACGTGTGTAACATATATAAATTTGGCTGTTCGGGATTACTTCAAAGTTTAGTTTGTGTTGTTTTCTCGAATTTTCACCGGCTCGACTGGCGTTCCACAGCAGCGCGCAAAGATCCCATAGAAATGCATGTACAGTGGTGCGCGTCGTAGCAACGTGGAACGTCTTGTGACGTAGCTCCGCCCCCGAGGATATCCTTATCCTGGAGTACAATTATTTGAAAATGACTAAATTCTGGGTATTTTCATTTATGAGTAGGCTTTTACCTTAATATGGACAGCTAAAATAGATACCACGTTGTCAATGTTAAAAACAATCGCTGGTTCTCGACTTCCTTCGACATATCACGGTCAATTGACTGCGGAAATATATGCCCGTACGCAACCATGCAGTTATGATATCGCGCGCCCTCTAGTGACAATAGTAAGTAACCAAGCAACGACTGACGCAAAGACTTGGAACGAATTAATCGAACGCTTCGATGTTGACGACAATGCCGACGTTCGATGCACTTTTGATTCAACGCTGACACAGCACACAGGGGGAATATATGTTTGAGTGGGCAGAGTAAATATACATTGTAGTCGAGGATTGGACTGAAGAATGGCAGGTGAGTCGTTGTGTATGACACCTGTTGTCTGTTTTGAATAATAACGAATTCGATAAATTACGGATCTGATGCTTATGCTACCAACTCGCTCCTCCCTGACCCAGAAACGTGGGGAGACATAATACATGTAGATATTGATTGTTTCCATATCTCCACGGTTGTCCGCCATTATGATAATAGCCAATCCAAGGACGGGGACATTCATGTCGGAGAATATGATTGAAAGTAATGTTAATCGTTCTGCTCATGCCTTGGACCATTAGCCTTGTGGCAGTATTACAATCACCACGAACGTGCCAGTCATCCATTATCCTGTCCGTATTTTTAAATTACTTCTCTCTGTCCGTGCAGATCATCGACATGTATTTGTAATTCTTGTTTTGCACGCTTAATTCTTCTTTGTCATTGCAGATAACTTCACACCGCGATGTATTCAGTCCACAGAGACACCAGTCACCAGAGTAACAATGTGAATGTACTTTTCATTTCTTTACTTTGTCGCATTACCAAGTCATTGCACTGATTGTGTGTCGTGAGTGTGTTTAAGGGCGATGTTTAACGAGACGTTTGTATCGTTGTTGATAGATTTAATTGAATTACGTAAAATCAGCAAAAAATCGGGTACGTGATCTCCTGAACTGCAACAGAGTTGTGTGTTGGATTGCCGTGATATCAATAGAGTACACTCGTTCCAGTTACCAATTGAAGCACGTGCACATTGGAGCATATTACTTGCAATTCATTAAAAATTAGGACGTTCATTCACATTCACACATCAACAGTCACCCCTTGACAACAGCATGTATCATCATTGGTGGGAGAATTACAACCAATTTCGGCGTCCGAGACTCATGGATTTTGTATTTATCATTATCGTCACGAACCGATACGACCAATTACGCCCTATGCTATTATATATGTTCCGCTCCCTTTCCCATCAATGGGGTTGTATGTTCGATAGTCGTCCACTCAATATTCAATATGTAACGTCATGCTGATCTCTGACCTTACTCATGCGTCGTTATCTTGTACTGTTATGTGCCTATGCGTTTGCCCATGGTTAGCCTGTGTGAAGTCTTTCATGTTGTTTGCTTCATATATCTTTTAATTGTTTTATTTGATCGAGCGTCTAATTATGTCTGTTCTATCTACTTTTTTAGGGACCAGGCGACAGAAGACGAATTGTTTTGGAGCGATGTAAGTGTGAGAAAAGTCACGAGTGGCACTCAACTAAAATGTTTTAAAGAAGTAGGAAATGTAAAGGGAAATCTGAACAGTGATGGCGCCGTTAATAGTTGTACTCCCATGGCCGGCCCGAGAAAGAGTCCAAGCGATGAGCTACCCAGCTGTCATTCAACTGCAAATTATGAACACAGAGACGACCAGAAAGTAGACGTGATCGAAGACGAGGTTATAGTTAGCCGTGCCATTGTTGATTTGTCGATAGCACGGGCAAAACAGCAATTTGCCAGAGAGGAACTCGCGACGAGTGTAGACAGTAATATAAACATCGATTTGTTCGTTAAGGATTACGTGCAGGAAGTGATATCTGGCGCCATACTGGTATATTTTGGTGCACAAATGTGAAGAAAAGCATTGTACAAGATAAACCTAAACTAGACAATATTTCATTTTACACTAGAACGTCTCGTCGACATATTGGTAACAAGTGTCAACACGTATACTATACCACATTCTCCACAGTCATATGGCGATACATATACGGATGGTATCGAAGTCTTATCTCCCGAACAACGGTCTACAGACGAAGAAAGTTCCCATGTCTAGATCTGCATCCTTCATGAAATTATTCAGACGGAAGTCCAAGAAGCACAGGGCTAGGGATGTTTATTATTTGAGAAAAGATGGTACATCTGAAGAGTTTACTGGGAATACTGGAATGACAAATGTGACGGAATTAGTGGGTCATGAACAAAATCTCAAAACTCCGAATAAAAATGAAAGTTGGTTTAGAAAACTAAAGAGAAGAATGTTTAGAACAAATCTTCAAGGCACTGAAAGAGTCGTCATTCGTTGATACACTCGTACGACTGGATGCGATGTAGTTCGGTTTATGCGTAAAAAATGTAATGTACAGATAAATTGAAATGATTTTCCTTGCGATTATGATGTAGAGGATTATGATGCAAGAGAAACAGTTGCCATTTATTTTAGACATATCTCCGAGTCGTGAATCGACAACATTCACACAAGTTGATCCATGTTTGAACCTTTATTGTCTGCAGACATTTCCCAGATTTGTCGGAAATGAGCAAAACTGTTAAGAAGGCCCGGATTCATGTTTCCAATTTGAGCATTATTTAAAAGAAATTGGTAAAACCGCGAGTTTAGTGAAATTTGTGGATTGGCTGATTGCCAGAAAAGTATTACAAGCATTAGTGCCCGAGAAAACGTATTACAGAAATGACTTTCCGCCAACCCATATCATTCAAAGAAGTGCGCACTAGAATGTTCAACTACTGCAAATTATCAGATAAACAGCAGTTTGCAATGTCGCACATATCCGAAACAATAGCCTGGGAGGGAGCAAGCAATAACCAGCACTGTCACCACGTGACCGAATCAACTGCCGAACCTTCAGTTATATATCTGCGGCTCCAGAAATTAAAAACCCGACAGATAACAACAACATAACAACAACAAATTGTTCTGCAAGTGTGACTGTCTTCCAGGATTGATCAATAACATTCAACATCCAGTATTAACTTTAACTTTTAATACACACAAAAGACCGCAGGTTATTTACTCAGAATGTAACCAGAAATTCTAAAGTAGTAAAATTTAAATTTTGTAATTTTGAAATTTATTGCATGTTTGTTGTTATAAAAATGATTCATAAAAAAATATAATTTTAGATTAAAATTAAAGCCAAATATTGACTTGTGTCTAGACTTATAAATATATAAATGTGTGAATATTTGATACATATTTTTAATACATGCAAACGATTATAAAATGTGTTCGTGTTTTATTAATTTATTAGCAGTTACAAATTTTTATGAATAAATACATAAATAAAGACATATGTAAAACTGAAATATTGGTATTTATTAAATGACAATTGTATCACAGTACAATTGCACGTAAAGTTCTGCTAATCCCGCGATTGACCAATACTGCCGTCACGATGTCACATCTCACACATTCTTGGACCAATCAAGTTTAAATAACACACGTGCATAATACATCATATCAGACATATGCGAATGCACTTGTTTTATGACCCGATTCAAAATGGCAGTCGATGTAAGGCCAGAAATGCATCAAAATCACTCAAGTACATCATTCTGTAACTGGATCTCAGTCGTGTGTGAACGGATTTGAGCATTTGTGTCATAATTTTCCATACCTGATTTCAGTTTGTATCCCGTCTATAATACGAGTGTGACAATCAGAATAAATAACAAAAACATGAAAGTCATGCACAGACTATTAAAGCAAAAATCACACTGATTCTAGATTGTATGATGCCTGTCAATCAGAATAAATAACGCCAAACATAATGCTGCTGACAGTAAGCAAATAACATTGAATAAACGGCATGGTAAATACTAAGTAAACACGTACTGCATGCGTGACCCGAACGGCACCTAGTCGCCTAGATTCACGTCTCTACAAGTCTTCCCCTCGGCCACCGGGCACGCCACATAGAATAAATAACGCAACGCTTCCAAACCACTGTGGAATCATGTTTCAGATATCCATTGATGAATTTGGTTCAAATCTGTTACAGATTATTTGCCTAAGCTGTCAAATTATAATGCATATCGAGAGATCACATGTACGTATCACGAGACGTACAATGTGCAGATATGTTCGCATGTATTCAAATATACTCTTCTATAAAAAAACCAACGCGGACTGTTTCGTGTCATGACTTGTTTAGTAATGTTTTGTCGCTAAGTATTATTCAGCTGTTTTATACGGATTAATGCATTAATTAACCGACGTCACGTACGCGCTAACATTTTGATAAATCGTTATTTTTGTCTGGACGTATAACAGCTTTATATAGGTGCACGGACCTATAGTATATGTGTATCAATAAATCCAAAGAAATGGAATGTGGTAGCTCTCTATTTGCAGTTGTGTATATTTCACTTGATATCGGAGATGTAACACTGGCCAATATTTACTGCGTTCGAGCCGCTCGGAGCTCATATTTTATCTTGGGTCGGACCACAGTCCCTCTATAGAGGGACTGTGGTCGGACTTAATATATCTCAGAAGAGTCCTCGTAGACGGGCTTGATCTTGTACATATGAAACTATAATAAAATTAAGTTAAATCAATCAAGTAGTAATGACAAGATTATTTCTCTCAAAATAAAACTGTCATGACAATGTCGAGTAACCGTATGCAACGCCCTTTCGGCATCTCTACAAAACCAATCGATCAACGATAATACTGCCTCGGTCGTGGCGAATCTCTTTCGCAATCGTTTTCCGTTTTAAAGGCTTGAGCCGAATTAAAGATTATATATCATGTTAGCCATACTTTCATTGTAATGAGTTAATACCACTATAATACCGACATGTAAACAATGGGGTCACCGGGTGATTTTTGAGTTTGAATTATCATGATGGAAAATGTTCAAAATTGTCATGTTTAATTGTTTTGAGAAAATTAGCATGAAAATGTTCACTGGTTTATTATGTAAAATTATAGAGCTATTGTGAAATAGCACAATTTAAGGTGACGTTTTTTGAAAAAAAAACGTTCTTTTAGAACAACTCCACCAAACACAATGTTGATAAAAAATTGCAGTTTTCGACACTTTCTAAAACTCATTTTTTTAATAAATTCAGGACAACAAAAAGTACATAATCATTAACAATATATAAATGTTTCACCCTATACCACCAGCCTACAATTTAAGATATTATGGTAAAAAATCCCTGCCATGGGAACCTATAGTAAAAAAGTTATAATATTGCCGAAATGGCAATTATCCACTAATTAAAAATACAGTTATCGTTTTCCCAAAAAATAGGATGGTGACCCCCAACTTTTTCAAAGTCAATATCCTTATCCTGGAGTACAATTATTTGCAAAATGAATAAATTCTGGGTATTTTCATTTATGAGTAGGCGTTTACCTTAATATGGACGGCTAAAATAGATACAACGTTGTAAATGTTAAAAACAAGCGCTGGTTCTCGACTTCCTTCGACATATCACGGTCAATTGACTGCGGAAATGTATGCCGGTACGCAACCATGCAGCAGAATGTAGCTATGATATCGCGCGCCCTCTGGTGGCATTAGTTAAGTATCCAAGTAACGACGGACGCAAAGACCTGGAACGAATTAATCGAACGCTTCGATGTTGACGATAATGCCGACGTTCGATGCACTTTTAATTCAACGCTGACACAGCACACAGGGGGGATATATGTTTGAGTGGGCAGAGTAAATGTTCATTGCAGTCGAGGAACGGACTGAGAATGGCAGGCCGAGTCGCTGTGCATGATACCTGTTGTCTCGTTACGAACTGAAACATACGGATGCCATGAGTGTTATTCTACGAACTCCCTAGGCAAATTTAGATAACAAATTATTGAAAATAATTTTAAGCGCTTTGTTCGTGTCTCGGATCATAAGTATTGTCATGATTGTGTCAGTCATCTGTCTGTATTGCAGATAACTTCACACCGCGATGGATTCATTTCTTTACTTTGTCGCATCACCAACTCAGTGTGTCGCTCGTATTGAAGATTGTGGCTCCGGTGTTACTTCAGTATAGCTTTTTCGTGAATTTGATATTTGATTAAATTACGTAATTCGACAAACGTGAGGACGTGCTCTTATGAACTGCAATCAGTGCAATAGAATACCGCGATAACAATAGAGTACACTTGTTCCAGTTACCAATTGAAGCACGTGCACATTGGAACATATTACTTGCAATTCATTAAAAATTAGGACGTTCATTCACATTCACGCATCATGAGTCACCCCTTGACAACAGCATGTATCATCATTGGGGGGGGGATTACAACCAATTTCGGCGTCCGAGGCTCATGGATTTTGAATTTAACATAATCGATACGAACCGATACGACCCATTACGCCCTGGGCTATTATATATTTCCCGCTTCCTCTGCCATCAGTGAGGTTGTGTGTTCCTGGAGTCTTCAGTTCACCCAGTAGTGAATATAAGACGTCATGCTGACCTCCGACCTAGTACTCATGCAGTTATCTTGTTCCGTTCGCTCGGCGTACTATGGCTGAGTTGTACTAGTGTTTGTCTGGGGGCGTCTTTTCATATCGTTTGCTTCATATATCTTTTAATTACCTGTATTTGATTGAATGTCTAATTATGCCTGTGATATTCATATTTTAGAGACCAGGCGACAGGAGGGGAGTTGTTCGAAGCAGTGTGATTGTGGGAAAAGTCACGAGTGGCGCGTAACTAAAATGGTTTGAAGAAGTACATAATGTAAAGAGGAATCCGACCGGCGAGGGCGCCTGTCAATTCCTCATTTCTATTATTTTGAGCAAGGATCGAGACGAAGTCGTTTCTGGTGTGATGCATACTACACTCGTGCAACATTCACCGTCTCAAAGCGCTTATGACATCTAC